AAAACTAATAAAATTAAACTCGATGTTCGTTACGTATTTTCACAACAATATAAAATTTTAATTTGCTATATATATATATATATATATGCGTCTTGCTACAAATTCTTTTATCCTAAAATTCCCTCCTGTAGGAGCAAAGTCTTTTCCATAGAAAAAAAAATTTAAATTTGCATGAAAAATAAAAATACAAATTCACAAAATACTAAGAAGACTAAGAAGAAAATTATCTTCAGATAGTTCAGTTTATAAATACAAACTAAATTCCTTTAACAATTTCATTTGTGATTTGTTATTTTTTATCAGTAAATAAATATTTGACATTTCATTCGACAAAATTATTACTTGCAACATTTCTTCACGCATTTAATTAGTTCTGTCTTTAATAACTCTTTTAATTCCCTTTTTTCAATTTATTCATTGGTCAAATCTATCAGGAAAGGATGTTAGACGATATTTTTACGCTTTAAAAAAATCTTTAATAAGGAAGGTAGTTCATAATTTATAATGTTATTAAATTTTATTACATTAGAAATTGAAAAATATTTTTGTTGAAAGTATGTTGAAACTCCTTATATTTCCCCCTTTTACAAACAATTAAGAAATTTCATTATGTTAAAAAAGTCGAAAGAAACTTGTGGAAAGTATGCTAAAACTATTATCTTTCCCTTTTTCGAGATATTGTAAAATTTTACTATGTTAAAAATAGAAAACTATTTTTGTGTAAAGTATGTTATAATTCCTATGTTTTCCTTTTTTACAAGCTATTATAAAATTTTATTATGTTAAAAATAGAAAAATATTTTCGTATTAAGTACGTTAAAATTCTTATGTTTCTCCTTTTTACAAACAATTATTAATATGCAATTTATATTCACAAATCTTAAATGAATGAATACATTGATTTTTAGCACTCTGGTCCCATTATATTATTTTTGTTAGAGATATATAATATCCGAACAAGATTTTAAAACGTCCGATCTCAGACTAGCATTTTAAAAAATTTCAATAAAAAGTTGTATATTTATTTTCTCTGCCTGCAGCTCTTCCTAAGGAGAAACAGTTTTACGGGAGAGTTAATAGGAATCAGAAGAGCGTAGTTGGTGCAGTTACAAAAGCAAAATAAGTATTCCGTGATGACCACCTTTAATGCGTAATTTTAGAATCTTTGTTGAAACTCTAAAGAGTTTAATTGTGTGTGTGCTGTTTGCTGAAACTCTAATTGCGAAAGTCTAAAAAGTACTTATATTAATATTTAATTAATATATGTACCAATTAATATTAAAGCAAAGGAAAAAGATTATATGAAAATGTAATAAATCACTATAGAGAAAAGCAGGACTAAAAACATCAAATTTGATTGCCAGAGGAAAAACGAAGACTCGAAAAGGGATAATAAGATATAACTATAAGTTTCATGAGGTAATCAAACTCATTTTTGAAGTTGTTCATTACACCGCTCTCGAAATATGATATAGTCAACATATTTCAGCAACATATTTCGTCAACATATTTCAACGACATATTTCGTCAACATATTTCAACAACATATTTCGTCAACATATTTCGGTAGTATTTCTTTCCTCCCTTAAAAATATTAATTCGTGACCCCTAATGCTCCTGCATGGATTAAAAGTGAAAATATCGAACATCCAGCATTCCTACAGTCGTCCAAAGGTAATTTATTTTTATTTTTTTACATCAAAATTTTTTAAATATTTTTATTTCCTTTTATCCCTTTTTTTACATGTAATTTTCTTGGTTTGTATTGAATTGTGCTCTTATTTTATGTTTTGTCATTTTGTTTAATGTATTTATACAGTGGCATGCTAAAGTCTCCAGCCAATGTATTTCTTATAACGTTTTCCAGCATTTGGCTGTTTAACTGAGTGGAAAACAAATTATTTATATTTTATATATTACTATAAGCAAATTCAAATAAAATCACTTTATTACTTATTTATTATTGTATGCATAAATATTTGTAAGTACAAAATCAAAAATAAACTGCAATATTTCAGTGTTCAAAAAGTCTCAGGCCAGTTTATAATTTTAATTTAATTCAAATTAATTTTCATCGACATCAATTGAAAAATTAATATAACAATTAGAAGATGATATAAAACTGCTTATTCTTTTTAACCATACCTTTTATAGAAATCCCAGCAGCATGAAATCTTTGGTACCAATAACGTTATCGATATACACAACGAGAATTTAATGCCGCTTTGTTGCGAACCTTGGAATAATAGGTTTTATTTAAATATTAATGTCTTGTTACACGATGTTTAGCTCTTATATTTGATGAATTCTGGTGATTGTCTTGGCTTCTGTAATACATGAACATTGCTACGCTCACACCATTGCTTTACAAGTACTTAAATGGCTTGAGTTACCGAGTAGTAACTCGGCTTGTTGAAGCGTGGCATCAATTGGTTTGCATAAGCTAGAAGATTGTTTCGTTAAATATACCGATAAATATAGCGATCCATAATATCATCAATTCGCACTAAGAGTCTGGATACTTGATCCAAAAGACACCCTAAGCCATTTATTATGTTTGTTAAAATTTGATTTTTAACATTTTTGTCAGATATTGGACAAACATCTTTCCATCATTCTCACATGAACTTTAATTCATCATAAAAATATACTTTGTTATAATTATTAAAAGTCCTGTTCAAATGGTCTAGGACAGTGGCTAGCAACTGGCGGCCTGCGAATACTTTTTTTGTGGCCCGCAAACTGAAATATATTAGTTGTCATTTTTTTTGCGGACAATTTTCGTAAAAACTTTATATGGGTTTAAAATACTTTTCTTTCGCAAAAAAAAGAACCTAATTTCTTCGTTTCTGTGAAATTTAACATACCAATGGTGCAAAAAAAATTTTCTCAGGTTCTGCATCCAGGAAAATATTTATTCAAATACGAAAATAATCGTGTATGTTGCTCTTTTTTATTTCGTTTTTTTTTAGTANTTTTTTTTTTTTTTTTTTTTTTTTTTTTTTT